AGGACAGGACGTGAGGTTTGTGATTGTTGATGTGAAAGGCCTTCATGCAGGTCTACATCATCAATAGCACGCTGCAGGCCTCACACGTCGGGCGAAATCTCTAGGCCGGCCCGAAACCGAATGCTGATATATTCCGCGGCCCCTCGATACTCCGCATGGCGTGCTTACTGTCTCTCTCTCTCTTCTCTGGGGGAGGTTGTACGCGGGGTTTGACTCAAGATACCGATCGCTCTTCTCTTCAAGCGGCGTCCGTGAGACTGAGGTCGGCAGTGTAAGCCCATAGCATACAATAATACGAAGACTTTACGTGAAAGCTTGGTGCTATGAGCAAAAAAGAACGGTATCATGCCTCTTTTCCACGTTTGTTTGCATTTACATTTGGCGGCGACCACTCGCTGGCAAGAAACCATCCGCGGGCGCCGGACATAAAGGCAGAGAAACGGCAAACGATGCACGCGACGGCCAAACAAAACCCCTCCGGGACCCGCGCAGTGCTGAACAACTCCATCTACATAGCGGCGCTAACGCGCCGAAATGTTTCTTGGACAACAGCGGCGACACCAATTCCCTTGTGGACGCCATTTAGGATTTGGTCCTTGGACGCTCTTCTATCTATTGGAACGAGGTTTTGGCATGTTTTTATTGAGTATAATGGTTAGGTTAGCTGTGTTTTCCGAATGTTTTTCCTATTGGCCAAGAAGGTGAAGCTTTGTTTCGTTTGAATATTTAGTGTCAACTCTTAGAGTTGCTTATCCAGAAATATTCGTCATCATTCCGGCGTTTATCTAATGTGCATAGCGCGGACGCTTGTTGGGTACTTTTCTGAAGATATTTCTTTTGTGTTGACGGCTTGAGATCAGTTCCAAACATGTTTTCTCAAGGGATGTTTTTCTGTATTGGTAAGTTTTCTTCGTGAACGATTGCAAGATCGAATATCGTATCAAAGCATGGGCCTTGTTTGTGGTACTTCGGATATGATTCAGATCTGTGCGTCGCCTCTGGGGGATACGCAGATGGGAAGTATTGTGTGATGGGTTTGGTATGCGGTTGGGGTCCAAGTGCGGTGATCCTGAATGCTTTTCTTCATCTACCGATCCTGGGATAGCATATTCCCCAGTTTCAACATCGCCTGCTGAGGGCGGCTGCGCCATGAACATCGCTTGTTTCGCTTTTTCGTCCTGCTGGTCGAGGGCTGCCCATCGAAATAATTAGTAAGGGGTGGAAGAGTGAGAACGATGCCTGCCCTTGTGATGCAACGATGTCTAACCTTGTGATGCAACACAGCAATTATAATTGCACTGTACGTGTTCGTTGCAATGACCCATGCGACAAAACGTTTATGTTCCCTATCCAGGCGTGGTGCCACCGTACGTAGCTGATGCGTTCTGACGATGACAACTGCGGCAACGAGGACGGGGAGGAATGCTCGGAGGGTTCCCTGCTGGGCTTTTTCATAGGGACGAGTTGGGTATGTATGCGACTTATTCTCAACACTCACGCGCTCTTTGAAGCAGAGTGAAGTCTGTCCACATGGAGTCGAACCCCTTGTAGGTGTTTCTTCACTTCCGGGAAAGGAGGAGATAAACAAAAATATCGGTTTGACATCGAATACGTTCCCTCGGTCCAATATCCGTGAGACGTGTATGTACAAGAAATGTCAAAGATATCTGCTACATAACCTATGATTGCGCTGGAAATTTTCCCATCATTGCGTGATCCTGTGTGCTTTCATGAGGGCGACAAACCATTGAGAACATCACGCAAATGATCATCCCCCGTATCATCCATCGGTAAATGGACCTCCCCCGTATCGACTCGACATTGAGTGAGTCAAAATCCTCTGTCTAGGGTTGCCAGGGTGTTTAGCAATTGTAACCGCTCATTGCCGGTAAATGATCTTGCAATCCTTCTGTCAGGGGCTCATGGGGCTTTGGAGCTTCCTCCTGCTGGAACCATATGTTCCGGAACCTTCCTTCGCAGCGTTCTTTGATCGCATCGGGATTCTCCGAGATAGGTCCGCTTGGTGAGCATTATTATCGGTCAAGTCAGTTTTCTCCAAGCAAACCCAGATAGAGACGATATTGTGCATACTTCCCAATCACGGCCAGGTGTTGTGTTCCTAGAATATGTAGTCAAGACATTAATAATTACCGCATGTCTCCCCAGCACCGAGGAACACTATGGTCGCCATGGGTGTAGCTGTTTCGAGGCCTGAAAACATTGTTAGGAACCCCGTCTTCCGGCGCAACCTGCTGCGGAGAGCGTTCGTGGATGGAGTTCGCATCGCCCCCGACGAACCCTTCGTGCCTGCTATCTAGAATTGCAATTTTCGTAAAGAATACAGAACAGTAGCCTTCTCGGCATTCCCTTGTTGGGACCTTCTGTATGGTCTAGAAAAACGCAAAGTCTCGAGAACGTCAAATTTCAGCGTGGATTGAAGGGCCTTGTGCTAGGCCCATGGGAGAAACTAGCAGTATCATTTTCGAAGAATGTGCTTACAATGACTCCTTTCCTTTTGCCGTTTCGCGAGTTGATCAAACTGAATTGTGACCTCGAACTACATCTAATCTGTAGCTCGACAAATATATTGCTTTCCGACTGTGACACGCATGTTCCTGCGGGCAACAATCGAGGTGCTCGGTTGTGTGCTTTTAAGGTGTGAATATCAAGTCGCGTACATTTAATGTTCTGGTTAATTAGTTAATTGCCCGCGCTCTGTGGGGGGGATCATTGCACCACCCCCCGTTTTGATCGCCTGAAGCGTGATTCGACAAGTTGTGCACATTTATATACCAGCACACGCTTCCAGCTAGATCGGGTGTTTCAAAAACGCAACAGATCACTTCAAACAAAACGATATTGCAAGTACTGTAACTCGTCATCGTCGGTCAAGGATGTTGTGTCTTTCGGATTGGTACCCACAGTTCACATGTTCTCCATCGTCACACGCATGTATAAAACGAAGTCCACTCCCATCGGTCGTGCAGTTGCCACCACTGTCTGCGTACACCTGCATATGTATATATCTACAGTCCTGCATATAGTCCAATCTGAACATTGTTGGTTGGGTCTATTTTACGCAAACCACCATCGAAAACATTTGTTCCATGACTAGTTGAGAGTCAAGGTACCGAGCATTGGTCAAGGGTGCAACGTGTATCATTGGAAGTATCCAACAAATCTAACAACACCGTTCACGGTACATCTTCTGCTGCAGTGGTCGTTGTCTGCGAAGCGGCTGTTGCATCTGTACCGAGGTATGATTCTGCGAACTGGGTGGGTTCGGGGGTCGTGAGCTTGTCGCACAGTGTTGGTGACATATTTCTCTCGTATATGTGCCCGTTGAGTATGGCACCCGTCAAATAGGGTGCCCACTGTGTGACTCACTCACGTTCGGCTTCATCATGATACTGAAATTGGTTCAGCCGTATTCCCAGAGTTTTGAGGAACGGTTTCCGCGTCGGGGGTAGGGGGGGTGGGGGGGGGGGTGTACTCATAGTCGTGCATGCCGTAGTCGTTAGACCATTGACCTCGCATCCCTACAAAGCCGGGACGGAGCACGCCGGGTTCTCACCGGACCAGGCTCTCACATCACCAAGCGCGAAGCGCCGTGAGGTATTTGGCGAGTCGCATGAAGGGTGAGCTGCATCCTGCTAAGGGTGTTCGGCATCTTGTGCTTACTTCCTTGCGTACGGATGACAGCTACGTATGACTTAATTTATTTTCTGGTGCTTTCACTTCCAGAGACAGTTGTAAGCACTGTGTAACTGCCTCGAGGAAGCTTGACCACTTTAACACAACGTGGTGCGATCATCCCCCGTTGCGCGGAGTGAGGTTTCTCGACCCCGCACAACATGATCTACTCGACCACCATTATGGTTACCGCCAAAAAAAAAAACGAGGTAAAAAAAAAAAAAACGGTAACCTGGTTGCCGAGTTCACGAAGTGAATTGGCTTGTTTTACAACGTCGTTGCCAATCGACGAAAACCCAATCCCGATGGCAAACACCGAGTGGGGGGCTTGTTTTACAACGTCGTTGCCAAGCGACGAAAACCCAAACCCCGATGGCAAACACCGGGGGGGGGTAGGGGCAGCTAAATTGTTCTTGTTGATGCCACCAAACCAGTTGTTGTATACCGTATATGACACAAGATAACACACCCCCTGGACCGATTTTCAAAGCTCGATTACTCCACGACGAAGAGGATGCATAAATGAAACAATACGTTTTCGAACAGCTCTCGACGAGACGGTTCCAACGCCGCCGTTTTCGGCGCTGTGACTCTTCCTGCTGTTGACAAATCGAGCTTTGAAAATCGGCCAAGGGGGTGTGTTATCTTGTGTGATATACGGTATGTCCCCATGTTCACGCAAACGACCACCATGCACAGCTCCCCCTGATTGCTACATGGCGCTCCCTTTGTTCTCGCTTGCCTGTCCCTCGGTTCGTTATTGCCGACCCTCTCATCCGAATTTTCAGCAATACGTGAAGATGATGTTGTGTATGGTGGTGCCCTTGCCCGGGGTGATCTTCATATGCTGGCATCTCTGCTGTCTCCCCCGAAACATTGGTAGGTATGGTGGAAGCGGTCGTTGTTCAAGGTTTTTCGAACAGAGTGCGGTCAGAATTCTACATAAGAGGCAACACCCCGTAGACAATAACGGGGGTTCACAACGCGGCGACACACTTCCCTCTTTGATTTCAATCGGAGTGCCAACGAATTCTGTTCCACTCTCTCCATTATACTGATAGAGCTGACGATAAGGTGTGGTGTTCCTTGAACGAATCGTGTATGTCAACCTGCCATCTGCGCTTCGGTTTTCCCTCGTGATCAACAGTCTGAAAAGGAGGGTTGTACGAGTGCCTCCAACACACGCGTCACTCCCACTGCCTTTCCTTTTTTCGTGTTTCGCAGCGAGGAGAAGGACAAAGCGAGCGGTGAATCGCTTGCGAAGGTTTCCGGGTCAGAGAAGGTGGCACGCGGGGGGCTGGCTGATCATGCTGCGGGCGCGTCACCAAAGGTCCTTGGGAAGGTCCACGGGCTGGCCTGTCAGGTTGCGGAAGCTCGAACGTTACAACAAGGCCAACATCTTCAATAAGATCCCTCCCGAGCTAGAGCTACTAGAGGCGGGAAGGTCTAGGATGAATTTTGCCCGGGCGGCGATGGCGGTTGTTGAGACTAACGAGGAAGGGTTGTTCCGCCACATCATTTCGTTCCTATGAAAAGGGCACGGCCTCTGTATTGATAGTATGCTATCGCCTAGGAACATGGAGGAGAGCACCTGGAAAATTGTAAGGGAGACCAACGGCTAGATATCAATAAGCGAGAGCTACCAGGCATGTCCTTGCAAGATCTGAGTAGAGCTACGGTAAGGTGATCGCGATGGCTGGACGAGTATCTTCGGCGTTGCCTGTCTGACGCTTTCCAGTTTTCAGCTGTAATCATGCTAAGAACCATTGAATCAACACCGTCCAACCGCTCAGATACACGGCGAATACTTTAACAATATCCGCAGCGGTAACAACACGGAAATGCGCGCGCATTCAAGAAGCCCATATTTTGCTCGAGGCGCCCGCATTACTTGCTCAAACCAAGCAGCGTCCTTTTCGTCCGATTTTCTTCTTGAGACCAAGCAACCCCCGATTAGCCAGGTTCCCTGTTGTTGTTGTAGTTGTTGTTATTGTTGTCGTCGTCATTTTCACATTGATAGCCCTCCGCTACATCAGTACCTTCCAACATCCATACCGATCCACCGACGTTCGTAGATGTCATCGACTACCCCTTACAGGACAGCGTTCCTTTTCTGTTGGGATACCGTCTTCGACCCCATTACGTACGGATGTGGTCGTGTGGATACCATGATCATCTCGTACGTGTTTTCATTGGTTTGCTTCACCGCAAGCGTTCGCAGCTGAGGTTCATGTAGGCCCTCTCCCTGAAAATCTTACAAGACGACAGGATTTCATGGATCAAGCGCAAAGCAAGCCCGACCAGTGTTTGGTACCGAGCCGGATGGCTAGGCAATGGAGAATCGATAAACACGTCCGGTGTGACTGGGCAACAAACGTTTTTGATCCACAAGGGTGGCGTTGGGCACTAGTGCCCTCCCCGATCTACGGACGCCCGTTGTAGGTACAGCGCCAATGGTAGCAGCATCCACGTGCTCAACTGCGTTGCTCGACGCACGCAAATCTCCTACCCTACGGATTTGTTGCGGACGTCAAGCTTACATCGACGTTGTCCCCCTCGACCCCAACACCCAAGTCCGTAACCCGTCACAAAAACGAGTATCATTTTCCCCCCGCACCCGTCGTTGCGAGCCTCTAAACCACCCTCGTTGTCATCGGAATCTTCGGCGTACACAAAGTTGGAAGGATTGTCCGATGCCTCCAACGCGATTCAATCATCGCCTGAAGGAACCGACCAAGGTCACCACCACGCCACACGTTCCAAAAAGACGCAATCGGTACAGTTTGGGCGCCGGCAATTTCCATGGCTGCCCCGACCCTACGGGGTCTCTGCCCGCAGGGACGCTGCAGGCCGAAGGTAGGGAGGGCATGGAGGCGTACAGCGGTTTCAACGACAAAGAAGGCGATGAGGCAAGTTTCATTATCGATTCGTTTTTGTTGTTGTTGGTGGTGTTGTTGTTGTTGTAATCGTTGGTTTCGCGAAATGCGTCGTGCTGACAAAGCTGTTTACTGCAGTAAACAAGGTTGTCAGCTCTTGGCGACTATCGCTCTGCTTTTCCACGCAGATTGTGGCCGTAAATCAGAACAGAAATCGCAGCTTGGAGGGCAAGGTGGGCGGGAGGGGGGCCTCGAAAAAAATGTAACTCTCTGGAACCGAGCGAGGTGTCGAGCGCATGCTGAAGTTGAGGCTGGGAGTCAACTGGGCATTTGGCCTGGGCAGTCGGACAACCTTAAAAAAATGGGAAAGGGGTGTGTTGACAGCTGAGAGCGCCCGACCGGTGTGTTGTGATGACGCCAACGATGGGGCAGCCATGGGAATTGCCGGCAATCGCCCAAGCTCTACCGATTTCGCCTTGTTGCAAAGTGTGCATGGTCGGCTCATTCAGGCAATGGTTGCATCGCGTTGGAAGGATGGGCCGCACCTTCCAACTTTGTGGACGGCGAAGATTCCAGCGACAACGAGGGTGGTTTAGAGGCTCGCAACGACGAGTGTAGGGGAAGGATGACCAGAGTGTTGGTGATGAGGTTACGGGCTTGGGGGTTGAGAGCGAGGGGGACAATGTCGGCATGAGCTTGATGCCCGCAGCAAATCCGTGGCCAAGTACGGGGGGTGGACGGTGGATCCCGTGACGAAGGCTATGATGGCAAGTTTCATTCCCTCCATATTGTAGTATATTCCTTCCGTCGTTCTCGTTGTTGCTTGTTATTTGTTGTTGGGTTCGCGAATCGCCTTGTACTGATGAACTTGTCGTTATCGTAGTACGGGGGGGTGACTTTTCGTGGCGTATTTCGCTGTGCTTCTCCATCCAGACACGTCCCAGGGTCAGAACGACGAAATGGGCCTTCTGCACGGAGATGATAGCATGGACGCGGAGGGCGAGATACCAGCCATGGAGATCCCGCACGGTTCTCGCACTCACCCGTCTACGTCTGGTGCTCTTGGTGGTTCGTCATCGCAGCTTGGAGCTACACAACTACAAAAACGAGTACGGTAGAGAGTCGGCCCAGAAGTGGTGGCAGGAGGTTTGCGTGCGTCGAGCAACGCAGTTGAGCACGTGGATGCTGCTACCATTGGCGCTGTACCTACAACGGGCGTCCGTAGATCGGGGAGGGCACTAGTGCCCAACGCCACCCTTGTGGATCAAAAACGTTTGAGAGTTGCCCAGTCACACCGGACGTGTTTATCGATTCTCCATTGCCTAGCCATCCGGCTCGGTACCAAACACTGGTCGGGCTTGCTTTGCGCTTGATCCATGAAATCCTGTCGTCTTGTAAGATTTTCAGGGAGAGGGCCTACATGAACCTCAGTTGCGAACGCTTGCGGTGAAGCAAACCAATGAAAACACGTACGAGATGATCATGGTATCCACAAGACCATCCGTACGTAATGGGGTCGAAGAGGGTATCCCAACAGAAAAGGAACGCTGTCCTGTAAGGGGTAGTCGGTGACATCTACGAACGTCGGTGGATCGGTATGGAGGTTGGAAGGTACGGGGAAGAGAAGGATTAGGAATGTAAAGATGACGACGAGGAGGACGACAACAACAACAACAACAACAACAACAACAACAGAGAACCTGGCAATCGGAAAGAGTACGTGGCCTAGTTATGTTCTTGCTCTTTGATATCTAGCCGTTGGTATCTACAAGTTTCGAGGTGCTCTCCTCCATGTTCCTAGGCGAAAGGATATTCAAAAGATTTTCTACTGCGGTACCGTACCCCATTCATAGGAACGAAAAGATGTGTCGGAACAACCCTTCCTCGTTAATCTCAACCACCGCCATCACCGCCCGGACAAAATTCATCCTAGACCTTCCCGCCTCTAGTAGCTCTAGCTCGGGAGGGGATTGATCACCCATAAAACTCTTCAAAGCATATTTTTCGATGTTGGCCTTGTTGTAACGTTCGAGCTTCCGCGACCTGACAGGCCAGCCCTTGGACCTTGCCAAGGGCCTTTGGTGACGCGCCCGCAGCATGATCAGCCAGCCCCGCGCGTGCCACCATCCATGATCCGGAAATCTTCGCAAGCGATCCACCGCTCGCTGTGTCCTTCTCCTAGCTGCGACACAAACAAAGAAGGGAAGGCAATGTGAGGAGTGATGTGGGAATGCGTACAACTCACTATTCCTGATTGTTGAGTACGAGGGAAAGCCGAAGCACAGATGATGGCGCATGCCCGCGATTCTTTCGACGTACAGCACACCGGATTCTGTATTACACTATATCGAATGAAGCCGCTCCTTGCCGTCAGATCTGTGAGCATTGCAGAGAGAAAATGGAATAAATCGTTGGCATTCCGGTCGAAATCAAAGGAAGGTTGTCACCGCGTTCAACGAGTGGACACCTTCGATCTGGCCGGGTGTTGCCTGTAGTTTGGAAAAACACTGACCGTGCCTTCTACGGATAACCTTGGACCATACTCACCAGGTTGTCGGCAGAGGTCTACGCAGAAACCGCAGAGATACCGGCAGAGCAGGATCACCACAGGCAAGGGTCCCAGACAGCAGAACAGAAAGACCACAGGAAAAAACTGGCATAATCGGATTGTGGCGTAGGAACGAACGACGGGAGTACCATACAACAATCAGGGCGAGCTGTACCGTTGAAAGGTTCATGTCGGCGCACAAACAGAATTCATCGATGGTATGCCGTGCGAATCATTCGAGGCTCCACAAAACGCATGGTAGTGGTTTCACCTTCCACCTGCGACACATACAATTGATTTCTTGGTGTGGCTTGTACAAGAACGGCCGAAACCGTTCCCCGGATCTCTGGGTTCATCGATAAATGAATCTCAGAATCATGGTTCACACGGTGGGCACTGTATTCGACGGGCATCACCAACACTGTGCGACAAGCACGAGATCGTCGAATTCACCCAACTCCCAGAATTATACACGTACCTCGTTTAGGAAGCAAGAGCCGCTCCGCAGACACCGATCACTGTGACAGAAGGTAGCCGTGGACAACAGTGTTAGATTCGTTGAACACTTCCAACAGGCCCACGATCGGTACCCTGACTCTTTAACTATTGCAATAGAACGAAAACTTTCGATGAGAGCTGCATAAATACATCGTATATGGCAACAAAGTCCAGATTGGACTATGTCCGGGACGCGACGCGTACAAATATGAGTTTGTCCTGCATGACAGATTGGTGGCAACTGTACGATCGTTGGGGATGAACCTCATCGTGTTATACATGCCTGTGACGAGCAAGGACGCATGAGCTGTGGTTACCAATCCGAAAACGATGGCGAGCTACTTGCAATGTCGCTTTGTTTGAGGTGATATGTTGCTCTTTCGAAACATGCTGCTGCTCGATGTGGCTGGAAGCGTGTGAAAGTTGTCCATGGGCAGAATTGTCGAATCACAGTTCAGGTGATCATCGTTTGAAGAACCGAGAAAATACGGCGGGCCTTGCGACATGATCCTCACAACAGCGCGGGTAAATCACCAATTGGCCAGAAAGTCTTAAAGCCATGCTTACCATAAATTCATATTTTTGAAGCACACAATCGAGAAACAAACCCGATGGTTGCCCGCAAGCACGCCCGTGTTTGTGTCAAAGCAGTTCATATATCGAGTTGTTGAGCTTGTTTTGCTCCAAAATCCAACGTTTCCCACCTGTGAAACGACGAGAGGAAGGAGTCGTTTTCGCCACTTTTGCGAACGTCGTACTGCTAGTTTCTCCCATGGAACGAACACAAACCACCTCTTATGTACGGCGCTCGCTATTTGACATTTCTCATGAGTACGGAGTTTAACTGGACCATGCACTCTCAAGGCTACGGAGGTTTTCTGGATCATTCAAACACTCCCAACAGGGGAATGCGGAGAAGGCTGCTGTTCTGATTATGTGGTCTTGATCAAATTCGTACGGCGAATGCTTCTAGTAGGCACGAAACAAGCGTTGGGGGCCACGCAAACTCCAACCCAGAACACCCTCCACAGCAGATTGAGCCCGAAGACGGGGTTCCTAACAGTGTTTTCGGGCTTCAGAACTACCACACCTATGCCGACAAGAGTGCACCTTGGTGCTGGGCACATTTAAGGCATCGGGTAATGTCTAGACCGCATACTAGTATATAAAAGCAACAACGGCCCTCTACAGGTACAACATGAAATACCGTTCTTTTTGTCTGTGTTTGGAGACAACTGGGTTCACTGAAACAAAATGCTCACCAATCGGACCCATGTCGGAGAATCCCGATGCGATCAAACAGCGTCGCGAAGAAGTTGTGTGGACCACAATGTACGTTCAGAAACCCATTGATCGCAAACCCCGCGAATGCCTGTCAGCAGAATTGCACCATAATTTGGCGACAGTTAGCGGTTTCGATTGCCAATCGTCCTGACGACGTTAGAGCAATATGACTCGATCTCAAGTCGAAAAAGGGAAGTATTTTTGTCGATGGATGGTACTATTACGGTGGCACAGAAAAATTGAGAGCAAATTTTTGCTTTTTTCCGGCGAATTTTTTTTTTCTGAACAGGGCGTGTACGCAATATTTTTTCAATCGAAGGAATCGAACATTATGGTCCAAAGCCTTTATATACACAGTAAAGCTAGGTCAGTAGACCTACCACACATCAAATGAAAGACGGCAACCACAGCTTTCAAATGAGCCTGGTCTTGCTCTCATCGGATGACGACACGGTACAGCAGTGGCCGGCGATATATGGGTACTTTTTGACTATATTTTTATGTGGGGAGGCGAAAAAAAAAAAAATGACGAAGAAATAGCAACGCAGGTAGAACTTTTTGGAAACCCTATGATTTGGCGCGCGGGACCATCAGACCAGCTTTTGAAACAACGCAGCCGTTGTCGAGTACCGCACGCTGGAAGAGGGGCCTCCCAGCTTTCGGCCGATGACAAAACCGAAGGGCAGGAACAAGCCCACCGGCGGTGTCGGTGGACGCGAGACGAAGGCGAGAAAGAGAGCCAAGACGGCAGCGGCGAGAGATGCTTTGGCCCTGGACAGACGCAGCGCTAAGCTTGAGCAGGAGCGTGCAGCACTCGCGTCGGAGATGGCGCAGAGAGAGCAAGCGCTCAGAGCGAAGGAGCAA